GGCTAATGCTGTTTTATCTCCCAGCTGGAAATGAATTCCTTAGTAGAACATTTGCTCTCACTGTTTGTGCAATATGCATGTATTTCTTATAGGAATGCTATAAAGTCAACTGAGATTACATTCTTTTAAGTCCTATTTTTGCCTTCATTGGGAGAATGTTTTTTCTACTGTTTATCGCTGTGTACGATGTTAGATCCTGTAAACTTCACATTCGTTTTAGCAGCTACTAAGGATGCTGTACATATAAATGTGTTATTCGATTTTTAGACAACCACATGGAAAACTTCACTATGTGTTAAAAAATTTTTTAACACAAAGTAGGGTATTCCATAATAGTGTTAAAAACAAAAGTTACTAACAGTGTGCTATAAAGACTTTAAAAGGTACCCTTAACAAAAGTTTTCTACTGTAAAGTGCTTTTACTTTTATTTTCAGTTTTCACTTGATAGTTTTTACCATAATTTAAGCTCCATAAAATAAGTGCTTCACACTCCACATATTTATGTTTATCTGAGTGTTGTCTAAAATTGCTGTGTAATTTTAAGTTTAGCCAAAGTAATGTTATGAGGTCCTTTGCAGACTTAACCTGTGAGTTAATATTAAATGCATTGTTATTGCCATATGAAGAGGCACTGATTTTGATACCACGAGCAGGTCCAGACTACCATATATGTATCAGTGATGTTTAAAAAAAACCACACACACAAAACCTAAAAATAGACTTACCATATGCTCCAGCAATCCCACTCCTGGGCATATAGCCAGAGAGAACCTTAATTCAAAAAGATATATGCAACCCAATGCTCATAGCAACACTATTTACAATAGCCAAGACATGGAAACAACCTAAGTGTCCATCAACAGATGACTGGATAAAGAAGCTGTGGTATATTTATACAAAAGAATATTACTCAGCCATAAAAAAGAATAAAATAATGCCATTTGCAGCAACACGGATGGACCTGGAGTAAGCCAGTAAGTGAAGTAAGGCAGAAAGAGGAAGAAAAATACCATATGATATCACTTTTATGTAGAATCTTAAAAAAAAAAACATGAACTTATTTACAAAACAGGAACAGCCTCACAGACATAGAAAACAAACTTATGGTTACCGGCGGGGAAGGGATAAATTGGGAGTTCAAGATTTGCAGATACTAACTACCATGTATAAAATAGATAAACAACAAGTTTATACTGTGTAGCACAGATGCATCCAATTATTCCCCAACCTACACAAAGGAAGAATTAGACAACGCCCAAAAATGGGGCTTCAATAGGGATTTGGGGAGCCATGAGTGGCTTCTTAATGCCCCAAACTGTAGCTTGCCCAGCCAGTGGGGAGGCCCATTAAGGAGCTCACTATGGGAAGGAAGCCTTATATAACTGGCTTCCCTATAACCCGAGCATCAAAAACATCATCAGTTGGGTAGTTGAGATCTGCCCCATTTGTGCAATAAATAACCCAACACCAGACTGCCTGGAGGCCCCCAGATAAGATCCATTCAAACCAGAGGGATATAATCTGGAGAAGGCTGGCAGACTGATTTCACTGTTAACGTTGACAGTATCAAGAAATTACATGTATCAGCATTCACTTCTAGAACTGAAACAGCAGCCGAAGTGGCTAAGGCTAAAAGACATAATCCCCAGGTTTGGGCTCCCAGGATCCCTACAAAGCAATAATGGCCCAGCATTTGTGTCTCAAGTGACAAAGGGGATAACGAGTGTCCTGGGCATAAAATGGAACTTACACTCAGCCTAGAGACCGCAATCAGTGGGGAAGGTAGAGCGATCCAATCAGACCTTGAAATGGTGCTTAGCCAAGCTATGTTAGGAAATTAAAAAAAAAAAGGATTAAGTTGCTTCTGATTGCTCTGCTTCGAGTATGGTTAGCCCCAAGGGATAAGTTTAAGTATATTTGAATTCGTGTGGTAGACCCATTCCCCAAGCCTCAAAGAAGGGATTCCTTAAACCCCTTGAAAATGGAACAACTCACATATGCTCTCCAGGTAGGAGAAAGCATTGAAAGTCTCACAAAACATGGTAACCAGGTGCTGCCCAAACCTACTGACCTGGCCCTACATCCCTTCCAGCCAGGACACTGAGTGTACCCAAAAGCCTGGAAAACAGGAAGGCAACAAGATCAGATCACTCCTAAGGGGACGGGAATCCACTTAGTGATCCTAAACATCCATTTTGCCCTGAAGTTGCACAGGATTACTCCGTGTGTACATGACACTCAAATGAAGTGGACTCCTGAGCCCCAACCTCCAGAGAAATAACCTGAGATAACAGACTGCACTGCCCCGCCCCACCCCGACTACACTCGTGAACCTCTCTCCGACCTAAAACTCCTTTCCTGAGAAATGGCAAAAGATAAGTAGCTGTATATGCCTTGCCCAGCAGCAGGGATTTTAGGGTAACTGGACTGTCCTAGATTATCTGCTAGCTGCCCAGGGAAGGAGTCTGTGTGCTGGTCAATACATCATGTTGCTTTTACATCAGTACTAGTGGCCTGTGGGAGCGCAAACTTGGGTTAACAAACTTTGATATTGTTAACGATTGTTTTTACCAAATCATATTCTCACCTTTATGTAAGCACATAAGAAATGTATAATCAAAACCAATGCTTTCTATATTTGTCTTTATCCTGCTACTTCAAAGCAAAATGTCTAAGCGCACAAAAGACCGATCTCTCAGTACCAGTCATCACCTTATCTATGAAATTTAGCTTAGTTGCCTTAAAGCTGCTTTGCTCGCAGGAATCTGCTACAATCTGTCTCATTGCCACAAAAAGCAGAGACATGCTTTGCTTGCTTTGCTTAGCTCTAGGTCATAGGTTCAGGGCTGCTTGTGCTTATGGAAAATTGTAACTCGTCCCTTGCCCTTACTGGCAGGACATGCTTCACTAATCAGGCGTAGGTGGATAGAGTAGGCTGCTCTTGCTCACAGAAAACTGTGACTTAGCCCTTAGCGGGGAATAGCTGGGCTGCTTCGCATGCTTAGACAATTTTTGATCATTGTGTGGAGATTCTATGATGGTCTGGTTTTCATTGTCAATCGTTCGGAACACTATAACCTTGCTCATGATAGTTCGAGGTTTAAAATAACCATTTGTACTATCAATTGTCTACTTCCTGAGAGATTATAATGTTTCCATTTTTCACGAACTGAAACTGCTGATCTACATCTCTGTACATACACCATGCCCCTTACTCATTCCTATGACGTATTTTACTTTGATTCTTTAACTATTCTCAATAAATACAAGAGCTTTGGAGGAGCTTGGGGAGTTGGTCTCTGGCTCCCCCTCACTCTCTTGACTTGATAAAGTCTGAGTAATTTCATTCTTCTTCAGTGGTACTTTTGCTGGACAAAACCCACAACAAACAGAACCCACAGTGGCCTGATTGAAGAAAGTGCAACCAAGCTACAAGAAAAAGCAACTTGGCTAACAGAAGCAAGCCAGCCTAATTTGGCCAAACAAACCTGGAGCAGGGGTAAAAACAAGCCCTCCCCCTCCCCCTCCCCTTAATAACCCCTGTCCTCTTGCTGACCTTTGGGCTGTGTATCTTAAACTGTCTGGTGTCTTTAGTCTCCAAAAGGTTAGCATCTATAAAACTTCAAATGGTGATTGCTCGGGGATACAGTCAGGCCTGTTGACAATTAAAAACGCCCAAAGGCAGCTAGGGAAAAGCTCTGCTTCTCTACTCCCAGTTATGATGATGCCCAAACTCAGCAGGAAGCAGTTACAGAAGACAGACCACTGCCTCTTGGCGCCCCTCAAGAATGACGGACAGGACAAAAGACAGAAGAGGGATTTGTCACTGGCAAAGGCCACTGGGGTCCCCGGGAAAAGTAAGATGGAATCTACATGATAAGGTCTAACCTCATCTTTAGCGCTTAGTCTTGTTTCACTTGCCTGTAGAGGGCTGCGTGCAGAGGCCTTGCACCTAACACGTCAGGTTAGTGTTCCCAATGCAGAACCGCTGTGCTCGGCACCCCAACTTGGCTTGGAGTGTGCAGAAACGCTTCTCAATTCCACCTCAGTTCAAAATGGCAGCAGCGCACCTGTGCAGAGATACCGGGCTCAGACACACCTGCGCCCACAGGGAAAAATTTGCCCTCCTCCTGCAGGCAAATACCCTATAAAGCAGCCTGCTAGTGACATTTCAGGAGAGCACGTGACCCACAGCGTGAGCTGGCACCTCTCTTTTGACAGAAGAATAAAGCTTTCATTTGCTTCTGAGGAGGACCCTTGTTGAGGCCCAATTTGAAAGGGTTGATAACACATCTCCTTGATACTGAACTGCCACATGGAGGAAAACGTCTCGAAGCTTTTTCAGGTTTTTCTTTTTAAATATTACTCAGATGAGTTTGCTACTGGTCATTAACTTTGTGTAATCAGTATAAACTACTGTCTGTGTTCTTAGGAATTATCCCACTTGGTCACAGAATACTAACTTCAACCATTGTTAGCTAAAATTTGTAGGCATTTTACTGAAATCTCTGCGATATAGTCCCCTTTTCTGTCATAACTTTATACTCACAGGCCCACTCAGAGAAGTGGAAAGGGTGACGGCAAGAAACTCAAAAGGCCTTGAGCTCCAACTCAAACTCCAGAGTTAAGTCCCCAAATTTTTAGCCAAACGCGATCCAACGGGGAGAATTCTCCAAACGAAGCAGGCCCGGACCCCACCGCTACGTTCGTGGCGCACGGAGCTTGCCCGTCAGCCGCTCACGGGCTTCGGCGGGGAAGGGGCTTGGCAGCGCTCCAATCAGGTAGAATGCGCCGGGACTCCACCTCGCGCGCACCTGGCCTCTCGCTGCGCATGTGCAGCAGCGCATTTGGGGGCATTGTGGGAAATGTAGTTTGCAGTCGGAGGGACCGCGCTAGGGCGAGCCTACCCCTGGCGGCTTCTTCTGCGCATGTGTGCCCCCCAATTCCTCAGGGCGGTGCCCCCAGACTGGGATGAGTCCGGAAAGTTTAAGCTCCTCACCTGTTTCGCCTTGGTGGGGACTGGAGGTGCGCCGTGGGAAGGAAGATGGCGCGGGTATGAGGGGGCGAAACAGTAGGGCGCAGCCAGACTTTGGAGTATAGGCGTAGACCGAGGTGTGTCAAAAGCTGCAGTGGCCTTTCCCTACCCGAGTCCGTGAGCCCCGGATGGGCAGACTCCCTGGACTGCGTGCTTGCGGGTTCGAGGACCCGGCGCGGTGCGCGGGCGCTGCAGGTGTCATAGCCCGGAGCGCATCCAGCAGTATCCTGAGCGCGCAAGTGGCTGACATCTCAGTGAGGAGCGCCCTGCAAGGTGTGGAAAGAGAACCAAGCTTTACTGAAGGTCTGAAATGTTGTCCGTCGAGTGCTCCCTGCTTTTCCAAAGGTGTCTAACTTTAACCCCACAGCAATTCTGAAAGTCAGTTTTTCAAACTGTGGGCTGAAACCCAGTATAGTAGTGAGTATGAGTGATGAAACCTCTTTAGTGAGTCAAGACTAGTATTTTTATTTGCCAGTACTTTTTTAAAGTTGGGTTATAATTTACATAGAATGACGTGCACATAACTTACAGAGAATAAAAATGTAAAATTTGTTGTATACACCCTTTTGACTACCGTTCCATCAAAATACAGAACATTTTAATCCCCCAGAAAGTCCTGCCCTTTCCACAGTCCTTCTCGCCACATGCTCAAGAAACAACCAGTTTTCCAATTTCTATTTCTGTAGGTTAATTTTGCCTTTCTAGATCATATAAATGGAATACTATAGTATGTACACTTGTATGTGAGCCTTTAAAAAGTGAAATAAAGTCTGTAAACTATCACATACCTATCCATGTGACAAGCATTGTTTTATGAAACTTGCTACTGCTACAAACGTATTTTTTCCAATGACTACTGAGCATCTATGAGCCAAACACTGTCCCCTGGTGCTGGGGATACACCACCATTCAGACAAAATTCCCTGCCTTCATGAAATTTTAGTTTTAGCGAGTAGAGACAGTCAATAAACAATAAGCATAATAAATCAGTAAATTATATAGTATACTAGAAGGTAACGTGTTATACACAAAGAAAAAGTAGATCAGGATAAGGGAAATGGAGAAAGGGTTAAGTTTAAATTAGGTAGACAGGGAGACATCCTTGACATTTGAGCAAAGTCTTGATGACATAGTGGATGTCTGTGCCAGGCAGAGGGAACAGCTAGCATGGATGCATGCACATCACATACACATCCACAAACACCTACATTAACATTAGGTTGTTTTGTAAATATATTTGTTACATTAATTTTTTTAAAAAAGATAAAAGTCACTGGTACAACACAGGTATTATTTCCAATTTTACTGAGGCTCAGAAGAGTGAAGTGACTTGCCCAAGGTCAAATAGCCAGCAGGTAAATTCAAGCCCAGATATTTGTCTCCAGATCACCTCCTCCTTACAGCGTGTCTCCCAACCTAAAGCACAGCATTTGACTGAACTCTGCGGCTCTTCAGCTTAAACCACGGGCACCTGCATCTCAGTTCCCCTGGGGAAGATTCCAGAGGGACTGTGGAATGAATCTCACCTTGTGGAAACTATATTTTCAAGTCTGTTGATGTTTCTGCCTAGTTCCTGTGTCCCACTGAGAACTTGTTACTGCTACACCCTACTTTCAGACTCCAGCCTGTCTCTGTTCCTATAGCCCTGCTCCGCAGAAGGCATGGCTAGAGAGTTAGAGAAGGGTGTGCATCAACTACCATTTACATTCCGATAAATATTTAGCAACATCATTTCTGATGACTGCAGATTTATCTCTGGGGTATATATCTATTTGTTTAACCAGTTCCTTAATTTGTTTCAACTTTCAGTATGTGAAAAAGTTACTACAACAGATATCCTGTATCTAAATTTTAGTGCAAATCTGTGGTTTTCTCTCAATGAATTCTAGAGGACCCAAGGGACATTCTCTCACAGAGTGGCTTCTTCAGCCCAACTGTCAAAGCACCTGTGTATGGGTTTGTATGGGTACCTCTGTTGGG